TGGGAGTTGAATCTTCCACCATTTTGATGTTAATTGCTGTAGCTTTCCTTGAATGGCTGTGCCTTGCCCCCTTCCATCCTGTCTCAAAGTCATTTCTTTAACTCATTTTCCTCTCTTTGTACTAGGAGCATTTATTTTCTGTGATTTAGAACATTTTAGTACTATATAATTTTGTCATTTTGTTTATACTTAAACTCTGAAAGTGTAATATTTGGAAGAAAGTACCATTATTTTAGATAAATAGTATAAAATAAGATTATACTATCAATCATTAAAACCATATATACAAAATATATATGTGAATGTCACACATTTCAAAGTAATTTGCACTGTATAGTTGGATTTCAAACATTGTAGAGTAGTCTATATTTTAGTTTTTTCCTACTCTGTCTTTTCCCTTCTTGTTAGTTTGTGATGAACTGACTATATTTTATATTTCAAAATGTATTGTCTTTCCCATAAATATTTATTTTCATTTTGGAATTTTTAGCATATGTGAGAAATAATCATTTATGTATTTTCTTTTTTTTTCTATTTAAGTGAACTACCTACACAGAATTTGATTTCAATTGCTATAAAAATAATTAAAGATTACTAAAATATTAAAAACATTATTGCCTTTGACAGCCTTAAAATGTTTTTTTTCCTAGTCTACAATTACTCTTATCCTTATAATCATGTTAATATTAACTAGGATTTTTTTTCCCCCTCAGCATTAGCCTCATTCTATAGATATTTATATGTTTCAGGCCTAATTTGCAATATATTTTTTACACAATGGTCATTTCAAATACATTTTTACCATCCTTTAAAAATGTTTCTTGTAACTGCTTAGGAATGAATACATTTAAGTCTTACCTGATCTTTCTAAAATGCTCAATGAAAAAATTTCAAAAAAATTTTCTCAAGGGGCACAGCAAAAATGTGACTACCTAATGCACAAAATTAAGCAGATTGTTAGTCAAGGAACAAGCCCCCTAACTTATTTGCATTCTAGGGACTTAATTGATTTTCCTATGAGGCTTATACGGTAAAAACTTTTGTTATTGTTTTTGTTTTTCATTAGCTTCAATCTAGGTAATTAAGTTTCAGTCTTAAAGGGGGAAAGGATAGTGGAAGAAAATAGTTCAAAGTGCAAAACAGTTCGTTTCCGTGAATTTCTGGCCCTATTTCATTGTGTCCACATGCTTATAAACCCCTTGCTCTGATATGATTAGTGATCATATTAGTTGTTTGCTCAGTGATATGTCTTTATTATTTGTCAATCAAAAATTCAAGGAGAAGGCAAAATACGATCTAAAATTTGAGGCATTTTATTAAAGCCCTGGAATGAGAATTAAGAGTTGGCTTTTCTTTGAATGATCTGCTTTCTAATTATGCCTTTATTCTTAGAATTACAAGAAGACATATTTCCTTATCCCCACCCTTTCATCTACCTTTTGAGATATAAAACTCTTTACATCTTTTAAAATAATTTTTGAAAATTGCATAGCATAAGAGAATGTATTTTGTAGCTGGACAACCTTTTGGAATCTCACCTTGTGACTTTTTTCTAATTATATATCATTGGTTTTTATAAATGATAGTGTGAACGAAAATACTGCAATGTGAATGAAAATACTGCAACTGTATCAGTAAACAAAGAATGCTGAAAACGAGTCATCAGTGGCTGCCACCACCCCCCAGTGGGGACAGGCCTGCAGCCCAGCCTCTGCAGCCACTCACAATGGTACACTCTGAGCGGACTCAGAATAAGAAAGGACCGGATACTGGCCCTAGATAGCTAGGTGCTTGTCAAAGGAATGAATTCAGTGAGCCCAAATATTTGCTTCCTCCCATACATAGAAAAGCACTAAATTCTTTGAGATGCCTGGTTTTCTTTAGATAACAAGTAATCTTTTATTGTTCCAACTACCTGGCCTTTGCTGTAAAGCTCTTATATATCCTAGCTCCTCCCCTACCTCTTCGGAGCAGTCCCTCAGAGTGATCTGAGAGGCTGTCATCCTGGCTCGAGTCCTTCTGCCAAATAAAGCATAACTCTTAACTTTTAGGCTGCACATTTATTTCAGTTGACATTAGTTATTTAAATCTTCCATCATGTGTATTTACTGTGCAAATCATTGTGGGTGCTGGCTGGCAGTGACTCTCAGTCTGGCTCTTCCTTCCCTATTCCTGGGTGACAACTAGGGACACTGAATAAGTGCTTTTCTAACATTTATTTGGCTAGAATCACAGTGAGTCTGGTTAAAATGCAGGATCTGATTTAGTAGGCCTGGGGAGATGCCTCAGATATCCATTTTTAACAAGCTGTCTATATTACAAATAATTATCATCATTACCTTTATTAGTATTCTTTTTCTCTGCAAGAATAAATTTTACTCCTCTCTGGATCAGCTACTTGATTTAAAAGCTTAGCTCCCAACCAAATAACATGTAGTTTTCAGTACAACGTTTATATAATAAAAGCAGCAGTAAGATAAAACTCAAATGTGTTTTAGATTTTTATTTTCTTGTAGTGACTTTTTACATACAATAGGATTCATGCCTTGATAGATTATTTCAAAGGTCAGCAATCCAAGCTGATAAAACCCTTCACAGAAGAAAAACATTATTCCTGGGAGAAGAGGCACGAGGCCAGATGATTCAAAAGGAGACAAAACTGCTCTGGAGCACATAAGCCCATTTTTATTTTTTATTTATTTATTTATTTTCCTGAAATAGCTTCAATAGTAGCTTTGTGGTTCTGAATGCACCATGAATTGCTTCAGGACAAAACAGTGTTTCTTTGAGAACAAGCACAGTGTGTGACTGGGCCAATTCATTTATGTGCAGACAGCTGTATTCCTACTATAATGTAGGCCTTGCATATCGTTAAATCTTAATACTATCAACAACAAAAATGGACATTTTAGAATTTTCAACCTGTCACATAGTTTAAAATGTACAATTTCCTTTTTTTTTTTTTTTGGCACACACTTGAAGGTTTTCTTAACTCATCTTCTGCTTAAGTCTAAATGTCTTATTTCTGCATGCTAAAAATTTTACTTACGCATTGGCATAGCAAGCTGGACCCTGACAATTTATATTAATATGGATTTAGGATTTGCTTTATAATCAAACATAGGTTTCTATATAGGCTCCAAGATATTTATAATTTCAAGCTCAGTTTGGAGCTTTTTGTTTTTCTTTTAGTACCGTATTTTTAAATTTATATTACACCAAAAAACAGAAAGAGAAACAATTTTAAAAGTATGAGCCAGAGGATTTTCTTCCATGTCCCCTTAGACCTGGACTGGGGGCGGCCTCTGCTGTCCCAATTTTGCTGAACTCACCTCTCCAGGTCAGTCGTCTGCCAGGAGGTGGACTCCGTGTGGTAAGGGTGGGAGGAGGGGCGGCGGCGGCATGGGGAGGGGGGTGCCCTGGCAAGCCGGAAGATTTTCTCCCGCGTCCCCGTCAGCCTGGCCTGGGGTGGGCCTCTGCTCCCCTACTTTTCGCCAGATGCAAGCCTTTAAGTCAGCCTGCTCCTGGGAGGGGGCGTGGTGCGGTCAGGGAATGGGGGCAGTGACGTCTGGCGGCACTGGGTGTGAGGGGGCTGCCCCAGTGAGGTGGTCATTTTGCTCCCATCTCCTTGAAGGCCTGGCCTAGGGGCGGCCTCAGCTGCCCCAAGTTCACCGAAGGCACACCTCTAGGTCAGTTGGCTCCAGGGAGGCGGGCACAGTGAGGTCAGGGGCTGGGGGTGGCTGAAGAGGCAGAGGCGGTGGCGGAGGTAGGGGGCTGCCCAGGTAAGCCTGTGGATTTTCTCCCATGTCCCACTGGGCCTGGCCTGGGGGCGGCCTCTGCTGCCCCAGGTTGGCGGGATGCACCTCCCAGGTCCCCAGCTTCTGGGGGGCCTGAGCGGTGTGGTCGGGGATGTGGGAGGGGAGACAGTGTCAGCAGGGCAAGGACTCACTGAGGACTGGGATCTAGTCCAGGATAGTCAATTCTCCTTCTCTCGTCTTCCTTCTCCCCCAGGTGGTGGCAGTACCGCCGGCGTCAGAGGCCAATTCCCTCCCCAACGGCAGCCCGCCCCTGCGCTAGAGGGGAGCATAGAAGCCGGAGCCCAGGGCCCACTCGCCCACTCTCTTCGCTCGAGTGGAACTGGACCTGGAGATCAAGCCCCAGTGCCAGGAGTGCACCTGTACCTAGTCACTGTGAGGCCAGATCTCCAGGGGAGCCCGGCCAAGCCCTTGGGGAGGTTGCCGCTGACCCCCTGATCCTGGACGAGTAGGACCAGGAGGACGGTGGCGGTTGGGAAGGCTGGGCCATGGCGATCCACGGTGGCAGGGCTGGAGCGCTGGGCTCTGGGTTGCTTTTTGAGGACTTGGCCTGGCCAGGTTGCTGGCTCCAGGAGGGGAGGACCCCAGGCCCGGACCAGCCGCTGCAGCAGGTGCACTGAGCATGGGGGACACAGACGACTCATTCCAGCAAGAAAATGTTGGGTAGCTGGTTTTTTCCTGTAGGATCACCTGGCGCTCTCGGCCCTCTAAGCAGGAGTTGGAGTTGCTGCGGATCACTGCATGCTCCTAGATATTCCTGTGTTTCGGAACTTTATGGGGGTAAGCTATTTATTTATTTTTCTTATTGAGATATAATGGACATATTACATTTCATTCACTTTAGGTATAATGACTTGGTATATGTGTAGATTGCAAAATGATTGCCACAGTGAGTTTTGTTAACATTGACCGCCATGCATAGTTGCTGTTCTTTTAAGAAGGACCGAATAGTATGTGACTTTTTGGGATTGTTTTTTTTTTCATTTAGTCTCATTCCCTGGAGATTTATCTGAGTTGTTACACCTGTCAGTAGTTTGTTGCTATTTCCTTGCTTTAGTATTCCATTGTATGGATCTATCACATTTTATTTATTTATCGGTTGATTGGATATTTGGGTGATTTCTAGTTTTGTGCAATTTTGAATAAAGCTGCTATGAACATTTGTGTACATATTTTTGTGTGAACATAAGTGTTCATTTTTCTGGGATGAATGTGCAATGACTTCATTTTAATGATGGCCTAATGTTTCATTGTATGACATTGTTTTTCATTGTATGAAGTAAGCACATAGTTTACTTAGCTGGTTATTTCCAGATGGATTGTTGAGTTGGCTCCTCACCCCTCACCCCCTGCCTCATTTTCCTGCTGTTATGAACATCAGTGATGAGAATTTTATCAGCAAGTCTTAAGGCACATCCTTCTGTTTCTAGAAGTAGAATTGATGCCTCAGAATATGCATAATATAAAGCTTTGCCTTTTCCCCAGTATCTTTCTGTTTTTCTTTCATAAAAACCTGCTGGACTCCTACAGCTGTGCCTGCTTCTCATGCCCTTGCTGGCACAGAGCATCTTTGTAGATGTCTGCCTCAACCCTGGTGACAGCACACACTTAGAGCTCCACTGCTGGTTGTCCAGTCCCACTTGCCTGAGAAGAAATCTTTCAGAATAACAGATTACAGCAAGATCTTGTTTTGTGTGAGATTTGTGACTATGCTCTAGGAGTTTTGTAAAGCTTCAGAGGATTTGGTATGAGATGGGCTCAGAGAATTGCAGGAAATCAGTCTAAGTCCAGCTTTTCCTATGCCTTGTCTTCTATTTGTACCTTATATTCATTCAGAAGAACCAGACAAGGCCCTAAAAAAAGGAAAACCTTTGAGATGTGAATCACTTTTTATAAAAGCTGATTAATATAAACAATATAGATGTGTATGTGTGTGTGTTCTACGCCCATTTGAAGCTCTTAGAAATGAGATTTAAGTATAATCTAATGGAACTGTTAAGTATTAAGACTGGTAAGACGCTTTTCTTTCTCTTTATGCCAAAATGTGGCAATATTTCTCTGTGTGTCTAGGCAGTAATTTTCAAGGAATAAGATAGGGTTAACAATATATATCTGCTAAAATCCAGGAAACACATTTGTGTTTTTCTGAGATAAATTAAATCTTTGGTTTGAAAATTACTTTCTGCTTGGAATGTGGCAAACTGACATTCCTTCCAAAGTAAGACTTTTTTTTCTTTCTTTTTGTGTTTCAAGCTCTATAATTACTTTTTTTTCCTTTACCTGTGATACTGTATGTAAGATGAATCAGGCTGATTCCAGT